CTCCTGTGTGAATGACTTTGACAGAGCTGCAGGTGTGTGTGTGTGTGTGTGTGTGTGTGTGTGTGTGTGTGTGTGTGTGTGTGTTCCTCTGCTGCTCCATGTTCTGCGGTTTGTACAGCACACTTACACAGTCTGTATTAGAAACCACCGCAGTCTGCAGTGTAGTAGCTGGAGGCTACGGAGGCCCACAGGGGACATAAGCAGCAGAGGAAAGAGCAGCCAAGTAAAATGTCCTTCTCAGGCAAAGGCACTGTTACTTAACTGTTTATTTACTTTAAGTACAAAACTACTGTTTAATCTAAATTTAAGCCCCACAGTCCAAACTGCTTCATGGCCCCGTGGAGCATGAACACTAAGAGAGACAGACAGACAGACAGGCAGGTCAGTGAATCATCTGGTCATCGTCCTTTTCCTTCACGCACTGGTGTCAGGCCGCAAAGCTGACCTTGTCTCACTGGGAGTCGCTGCCTCTCCTGCCACACCACTCACTTCCTGTTTGTCACGGCTGTTTACATCCAGTGTGGAGATGTTCACAGGGTCACTCAGTGCAACGCGTGCTCACAGCCAAGCACAGGGCGTTTCAAAGACCTGTCTTCTGTACCCTGACGGTGGCCTAGTGGTGACCCAGTAGGACCACAAAGAGACTGAAACCCCCACAGAGACACCAGTCTTTAACATAGCTGGCTGATCCACTCGTCTGTTGTTCCTGTCTGTCACACACAGTAAGGCTACTGAATAGACCGACTAAAGATTAATGTGTCTTTGTGCCTTAAAAATGTGGAGGTGGACCCCAGACCCGACTCTGTGCCACCTGACAGACCATGATGTGCCCGATGAAGTGGTCGCACATCTTTTTATTCTGGCTGTGTGTGGTGGCAGAGTCTCTGTGTGTTATTAACTCCACGTGACTGTGTCCATGTGTGTTTCTATTGTTTGCACAGGAGCCGGCATCATTGCTTTGACACTGTAGCCCACATAAATCAGATGGATTTCTAATCAGTGTCTGTGCACATGTGTGTGTGTTGCTCAGCAGCAGCCACGGTAACACAGCAGACTATTCTCACTCAGCCTGTTGTGTGTGTGTTGCAGGTTGTGTGTTGCTGCCAGTGTGTTGTTAGTTACTGCCCTGACTATGGAAGCAGGATGACAAACAGAAGCAGTGTGTGTTTATGTGTGTGATTCTCTGTGTGGATTACTGTACATCTGACAGGAATAAGAAAAACTGCATCTGATATACTGTGTGTGTGTGTGTGTGTGTGTGTGTGTGTGTGTGTGTGTGTGTGTGTGTGTCCTCTTTCCCCTGACTCATGTGGTTTCACAGGAAGAACAAGCTGCCGAGCAGACCCAAGGTGTATGTGTGAGTGTCTACGTGCTGCAGTGGGTTGTATCTGCTGTAGATGAGGCTGCATGTTCTGCTGGATTCTGCAGAGTGTAGCCGTGTTTTAGTGAGTGCACAGACAGATTTGTGCAGTGGGGCAGACTGAATTCATTTTACAGCTCTATGAAACTGTGTTTCAGGTGTTTGACATGTTTAGTACTCATTTAGTGTAGTGTACAGCCAGCTATGTGCTGAGACCTTTGACTGTGTCAGTCTTGTTATTTGTTGCAGTATTTTATATCTGTCAGTTTTCTGGTTTTCTGAACAACACTGTGTAAATAGTTTTGTGTGTGTGTGTGTGTGTGTGTGTATTGGTCCACTGCTGTAGCATAGCGAGTGTATCATCTGCAGTGTAACTGTCGCACACACATGCACAAACAGCACAACACCAAAGTTTCAGGCACTAAAAGTAAAATGAGGACGAATAGTTTTTGTTTGTTCGTTAATGTAACACACTGTGTAGTAAACCTGTATACCAGGTACTTGGCAGATACTGTAGGTAGTCCCAGTGCTGTCTCAGTGTTTGTGTCTCTTCATGTGATCCCAGACTGTCTCCACGATGCTGGCATCGGGGCCCTGTGGGGTCCGGACCATCTGCTGCAGGACTCCCGGTCCTTTAGCTCTCATAGCAGCAGTAGCAGGAGAGCTAACCGACCAAATCTAAAAAGGCGAGTCTGGCACAGATGGGATGTTGTCCAATGTTGGGGTCACCTGAAGTTTACTGTGTGACCTCAGAGTGGTGCCGCGTGCCAGAGGAGGCTGCCAGCGTGGTGCTCAGTGCACAGCCGGGGTATAAATCAAACACACCTCACCTCAGTTCAACCCTGCAGCTGGCTCAGACTCACCAGGTTGAGGGAGGAGAGACGTGAACATAGAAGGGAGGAGGGGAGGAAAAAAATGTAATGTAAAGTAAAAGAAAGAGGAGCTGTAAAGAGAGGAGAGAAGGGAAAAGAAAGGACGGGGGGAGATGAGGAGGAGTGGAATGGGGAGAAAGGAAAGGAAAAAAGGAAAAGAGGAGAGAATGAAATGAGGGGAAATCAAATGGGAGGATGGAAGAAAAAGGTAAAGAAGGAGTAAAAGAAAATGAGAAAGGCGATGAATTCGAGAAGAGAAGGAGATAAAACGGAAGAAAGTATGTGAAGAGAGGACACGAGAAGAGAAGAAGAAGTAAACAGGAAACAAGAGAACCGATTAAAACAGAGGTGCACAATAAAGAGCAGTGGAAGATGGAGGAATGTGAGGGAAGCAATGAAAGAGAAGAGAGATGAGGAGGAGGAGGAGGAGGAGTAAACAGAGTTAGCAATTATCTAGAGTGCCTTCATCTCAGTTCTTACTGCAGAGCCTCACTGGGATTTATGTGCTGTCAGTATGTGTGAATTTAATTTATCCAGGTTTAGGGACATAAATGCTGCATCATCCCAGAATAATGTCTTCAGCTTCTTCCTCATCTCTCTTTATTTGTAATTCTACTGGTGAGGGGTTTCTTTGTTTGTTTGTTTTTGTGGGTTTTTTGCCAAATGTCCTAGTAACTCTGGTGGAAGTCTTAGTGGCAGCAGTGGTTATAGCTGCGTCGTTATTTTACTGGATCTTCAACAGTATTATTCTCTGATAAAGGTTTTAAATCACAAGGCAGCTATGAGATAAAAACACTGTTCAAATGCCTCCAGAACTGTACACACAGATGCACAATGTTGTTCACAGTGTTGTTCTGAGTAAAACAAAAGACCTAAACTGAGACAACAACAGGCACGAAAAGAAGAGCACAACATCAGGGATTTCCAAGAACCCCGTATTTACACAATGTACAAAAACTCTGTTACAAGTAAAAGTCTGGAGACGCCGGTGTGTGGTGGACGTCTGCAGGCTTTCAGGGCAAACATAATGAAAGACAGTTTGGCTGCAGAACACTACATGGCTGCAGTTTGGAAACATGTTTTTTAGGTTCTACAACCAATATTAAGCTCAGTAGCAGCTGATTTACACTTTCTTCTGTGCTACATTTTGGTTCACATGTGCACAGTACAGGCACCAGGTCCTAAGAGAAGTGTATTGAAATGACCAATGTGCTCGTTTACATCGTTAGTGTTGCTAAATACGCTGCTAAAGTGAAGAATTGCAGTGATGCATGGTAATTTGTGACAGTTTTAGTAAATATCCTCCTAAATGTCTAACATATAGACTGTACATACAGGTGGACGCCCCCTGGTGGCCGGCTGCAGTAGAGGCTATAAACCCCTCCCCCTCCATGTTAATGGTGGGGCACAAACTCGAAGTACAAATCAATCAAATTTGTTATTTCAAGTCAATATTATCACACTGCTTTCTGTACAAGTAGTTGTTTTTCTGATGTTTCTTTTTAATACATTATTTGATTTGATATTTTCAGATGATTGACAGCTCTGTTTGGCAGCCTCCATTTCTCTGGTCACTACTGCACAGAATCTGGTGGCAAACCGTGTCACAAAAGCTAAGATGGCTGCCCCCGCTTTTAAAAATTGTTTTGGCTTCACTTTTGCAGTGGCTTGAAGTGGTGACGTGTCGTTCAGCTGTATTTATACAGTCTATGGTTTAACCCCGCCCCTTATCCTAACACCTGACCTAAACCTGATTCTAACCTAAAACCAGGTCTGACCCCTCAAACAGCCCTTGAAGGCCTGAGGAACAGACAACATGTTCTCACTCCCAGCGTCTGTAACCCATCGGTCCTCACACTGATAGACCTACCAGTGCACACACACACATTGTCTTCCACAAACACAACACACTGTACACCCACACTCACACACGCTGTCCACCCCCCACACAGACTCACACACACTGCTGTTAGCCATGACTCACCCTCATGTGACTCAGTGTGCGTGTGCGTGTGCGTGTGTGTGGGGGGGGGGGTAGCTTGGCAGCGCCCACGTTAGCTTCTCTGCCAGTTTCCCAGGTTGTCTATCAATGACCGATCGGTTTTCAGTTGTCAAATGTGACTTGACACACCTGGTCCAGTTTATACTAGTTTGTTCCAGTTTGTCCGTCTTGTTCTGATTTTGTTCTGCTCTGATCTGGTTTAGTCTCGTGTAGTTTGTCCACTTGTGCTGAATCTGGATTGTTCTGTAGTTTAGTTAGGTCTTTCTTGGTCCAGTTTGATCTGGTTTTACTCCAGTTAAATCTTGTTTTGTCCAGTTTCATTTAACCCCATTTAGTCTAATCTGCTCCACTTTTCCTCGTACGGTCCAGTTCACTCGGGTTTGTTCCAGCTTCGTTTAGTTCAGTTTGGTCCTGGTAAGTTCATTCAGGTGACAGATGACTCATGTAAATTTATTTCCATCCTTTACTATTTTTTTATTCTGCTTCCTTTTGTTTTATTGTCCTTCCTCTTCTGCCTCACTTTGCAGCCTTCCTCCTTTCCCTGCATGTCTTCACTCCCTCCTCTTCTTCTGTCATGGAGTTTTCTTTTTCCCTTTACCTGTCCTTAGATTTGTTTGCTCTTCCTCCTCCTCCTCTTTTGATTAGATCACCTTTCGATCCATCCTACTGATTCCCTCCCACCAAAATGTCAGGAAACAAACCCGTCATCACATCAGTGGCTATGATGGATAACCCTGTCTCTCTGTGTCTTCTGCCTCTCTCTCAGCGTGGAGGGCGACTCCCAGTGCCCGGAGGCGCTCACTTTTTCTGATTCGTCCTTCGGCCATCAGCCTCCCTTCCATCTCTATAGCAACAGCCCCCTCACCAGCCCCTGTGATCCCTACAGCTCCACCTCCACCAGCGGGCCCCTGGGGGCCTCACATACACACGCACAGGTACTGACCTTAAAGCGCCAAAACACACACCACATCAGCTGATGAGCCAGTCTCGCGTTTTGTCTCATTTTCCTCTAACTGTGTTTTTATCTTGTTCTTTATTGTTTGACTTGTTTGCATTATTTTATTGTTTTGTTTTCATTCTCTGTAAACTGCTGTGTGGACCCTGTTTTAGAAAAGTGCTCTACAAATAAAGTTTATTACTGTTACATGACGGGATGTATCACCAGGTTGGATACAAGTGAGTGAAACTAAAATTACATTTGAGCTGATGATTCTGAGAAATCTGATGTTTAAAAGGTATAAATCAGTTTGTCTCTTTGTAGTGGAAGACATACTCAGACCCTTAACTTAAAGAAAAGTAGTTATACCACAGGGTAGAAATACTCTTACAAGTAAGCATCCGGCATTCACAAAGTTAATTACGTAAAAGTACAAAAGTATTATCATCACCAAAGTACCAGTACTCATCCAGCAGAACGGCCCGTGTCCCAGTAACGTCTCTGATACTGGATCATAGTGACTAATTACTGTGTCCATCACTTTAATGCTGCAGCTGGTAAAGGTGGAGCTGATGGTAACTACCTTATATACTTATACTGGGAAGTACTTTCCATCCTGCTGGGTAGCTGGTGGATTTCCTACTGGGATCAATAGAGTCTGATGGTTCTACTGGGTTTGGTTTGATTCATCTGGTTCTGGACCTGAAGTTATCAGGTACATGTAGTGTAGTAAAAAGTACACGGTCTGTCTCTGACATGGAGTCACAGGATGAAGGAGCAGGACATGGAAGTACTTGAGTAAATACAAATACCTCATATTTTTGCTTAAGTAAAGTAGGTGAATAAATGTACTTGTAGATGATCTGCTGGAAACTTTAAACGAGTGCTCGTCACCATCTCTCTCTCTCTCTCTCTCTCTCCTCTCCTTTGCTCCTCCAGGGAAGCTCTCCCATCTCTCCCGCCAGCCCGGCGAGCCTTACCTGGGCTCAGCGCAGCCGACACCAGCCGGCCAGCCTGGCGCTCCGCAAGCAAGAGGAGGAGGAGAGCAAACGCTGCAAGGCTCTATCTGACAGCTATGAGCTCTCTACAGACCTCCAGGACAAGAAGGTACAGCACTACAGCAAGTCATGAAGTCATGGACCAGCGAGGTTTTCGTGTCATCGTCTCTGAACTGCAAGCAGAGCACACCAACAGCGTAGTAAACACACACTCCTGTTGTTTCACACACAAATAGACATGCATGCTTTTCTTTAAATTATAGATGCCCCAGGCTCCTAAACTAAAGTGTGTCCACTCAACCATGGAAAAGCTTACACACACACACACACAGGCATTTCTTCCTCACCAGCATCGATGCACTTCAGCACATTAGAGTCCCACATCAGTGCTTCCCAGGTTCCGACTGTTTTCCTTCTGTCGTGTCTGGTGTTTTATATGAAGCATCCATATGTTGAAGTCCATGTGATTTCTGTCTCCTGTCTGGGGCTTGCACATGTCACTCTCTAATGTAATGTTGAATATTTTTCCATAATTTGCAACTAAATATACTCACCAGCCACTTTATTATGTACACCTGAACATTTGTATGCACTTCATTGCAACACTTGAAGCTCAACATGTTTCAGCTTTTGGTGAAATTGTCATAAATGTATAAATTCAATTACATGTTTAGTTAAAGGTCGATGTTGTACTGGACTACATTATATTGAGAGGTGTCTCTAATATTCTGACCCTCTCATGTTTGTAGCTGGGGAGGACAAAAATATAGAGACACCCCCTTTAACTATGACCTCAATAATTTATACATGTATGACAATTTGTTGAGCTTCATAAACAGATGTTAAGGTGGAAGTGTTGCACTGATACAGGTGTACCTAGTAAATTGGCCAGTGAGTGTGTGTCATATGTCTGTGTTTGTTATAGTTTGAATAGCAGCGGCAACTAGAGAAAGACGTAACATGAACTTTAGTTCAAAACAAACCCACAGCAAAGGTTGAATTTACTTATTCTTGATGGCAGCGAGCAACACACCATCTGCCTCCAGGTTTGACCCTTGACGTCTGTAAAACCGCTGCTTTCACCTGGCAACACTTATGGAGTACAGAGGTGTGTGCATCCAGTGACATTATAAACGGAAAACCTGAACAGTCACAAGCTGTAACAAAGATAATAATGAAAAAAAACTATTTATTGTTTGTTCAGTAGCTTTCCATAAGATTCAGTATTGATATTATTATGTATTATAGTCCGTGACAGACTGCAGGGGTTTCTTTCTGTTCCACAGTTTTCCACAGTCTCCATTTCCTCATTGGTTGCCTGTGTATGATAATGCTCTCTGATAGGTGGAGATGCTGGAGAGGAAGTATGGAGGCCCGTTTGTGTCCCGACGGGCTGCAAGGACGATCCAGACGGCGTTCAGGCAGTACCGCATGAACAAAAACTTTGAGAGGCTTCGCAGCTCTGCCTCCGAGAGCAGGATGACCCGGCGCATCATCCTGTCCAACATGAGGATGCAGGTACACATAAACACCGCTGTAGCTACTGCTGAGGACCCGGGCTCTGGACCACAGGGCACTTTATCATCTGAAATCATCCGAATGCATTAGTTTTTTAGTGAGTTATGATGCAGAGGTTAGTTCGACACTTGTTAGGGTTCAAATACGAATGAAACATCATATCACAGTGACAAACTGATGTGATGTTAGCATCATCACCAACGTGTGTCATTTTAAAGGGATCACTGTCACATCACACGTTAAATAGTCAAATAATACTTTAGTTAATGAGATTTCAGTTTTGGAGTTTCAATAAATGTGCAGAAATTCCTTAAAACAGGTTTTCACTTTGTAATTGTGGGTTACTGAGTGTACTTGAAGTAAACATGCACTATTTTACTGTGATATTTGACTTTATTGTTTATTTTTTGTTGAATATAAGGGAATGAAAAAACTGACTGAGAGAAGGAGAAGAAGATCCAGTGACAGAGGATAATGACACAGACACAATAAGAAAGTGTAAAACAACGTGCTCGGGTTCGCTGTGCCAATTCTGATCTTGTACTGGTTGTGTGTTGTTTTCTCGGTGTATCCAGTACTCGTTTGATGAGCGTCAGCCACAGGGTCAGGGGTCAGCAGGTCAGCAGGGCTCTGAGGACACAGGAGACATGGACGACTCCTTCTCTAAGCAGGTGAACCCATTTTTGTTACTTCCTCAACTAAGCTGCAGAAAAAAAGTCTCGTTGTGTCCAACCAACAGATCCACAGAGACTCAGCTGATTCTCATGTCTGACAAAGAAAAGCATCAGCTCCTCACATTAAAGAAGGTGGAACCAGAACATGTCGGTGACTGTTGCTTCTAAATAGCTGAGGTTCATTTTCTACCAGTGAACTGACTCATGGCTGCAGCTCTAGGTCACTGAATGGTGACACAGTGGGTCGGACACAGCAGGGTCGGACACAGAGAGGGGATCTGGTTTGGAAGGAGGAGGTTTCCTCCTCCGACAGAGGAGACCTGATGAGGTTCTGGAGACTCGGCCCTGCTGGGCGCCGGGTGGGGGTGTGTCATGTCTTCCATCACCCAGCTCTGTGTTTGCATTGTGTTCATGCTGTGTGTGTTGACTGCAGGTAAAGTCCCTGGCCGAATCCATGGATGACTCCCTCACCTGCCAGACTGGCCGAGAAGACTCACAGGAAGCAGGAGGAGAGGGAGAGGAGGACGACGAAGAGGATGAGGAGGAGGGAGATGAAGAAGAGGAAGAGGAGGAGGAAGAAGGTGAGGAGGATGAAGAAGACGAGGAGGTAGACTACAGACAGTGTGCATGGCGCAACACCAACACATCCTCCCGACGCACCACAGGCCGGCCCACAGGAGTAGGAGGGAGAGGAGGTGCCGCCATGCACAAGGACAGCACCGCCACCTCCTTCAGTGATGTCACACTCTACATGGACGAGGGCTGCCTCCCCTCTTCACCGCTGTCCCGCCCACCGTCCTCACCACTCTCCCGCCCCGCCTCCAGCTCCGACACAGACTACTGGGGAGGAGGGGGAGGAGGGGGAGCAGGGGGCAGAGAGGACAGCAGAGAGACAGAGGGAGGCAGCAACGCCAGCCGGAGGAGCAGCACCCCCTGTACAGAGTGTCGGGGGGAGTACAGAGGGAGGGCAGGAGGAGGAGGAGGAGGACACCTGCCTGTCCTGACCATCGAACCACCCAGTGACAGCTCAGTGGACATGAGTGACAGGTCAGCACAGCCAATCAGAGAGCTTCTACAGAGATCCCAGGTGTTATTGTTACGTCAAACCTAATCCACACCAGCAGTTTCCCTGCTTTGTTCCTGGTGGTTTTCATCACTGTCTTGGAACATAAAGTTTTTACTCAATAAATGTCTTGATTTTCTGTTTTAAATGTCATAAAATATTGTCACAGGTCCTCAGACTTCCTGCCACTTTCATGGCTAAGTAACAACTAGCTCAACAGGAAGGGCTGCACAAGTGTGAGAGGTTTGGCAGAAAATGGCAGAACAGACTCAGTATTATTCTAACTTTTTTACAGAGGTAACGTTATGATGCGCTGCCATTCCCTCACACAGGCTGACTTCCTCTCCCTTTATTCCTTATTCCAATACCCAACATTCACTTATCAGGAACACTGAGCTCAAACTAAGCCAGTGTGACTCACAGGTGCTGCAGTAAATCTGAATGAAGGTGATGATGTTGAGACTGTCACAGAGGTGGTGTTTCACCTGAGTGACCACTGTGGAAGCTGCAGGTCGTGCTGCTGTTCATCTGCACTGAGTTACACTGAGAGCGGGTTCTGCTATTTTGCCAACCCCGTTTTTTTATCAATGAGGCTAAATAACAGAAACACCTCTCTGTGTTTAGTACAGCTGCTAAATGTAAACATCATCCACAGCTACATCTTGGTGTCATCATGGATGCTTGCCAGACAAAACTAGGTAGGTACTGTAGGTAGAACTTTATTGATCCCACAGTGGGAAATTCCAGTGTTCCAGCAGCAGTAAAGGACAAAACAACATGGCACCATAGGAATAAACACCCCACACATATCTTGAGAAAACAAGATCCAGGTACCTGAAAAACCAAACAAAAATATAGTATTTCAGAAACAATCAAGAACAAGATTAGACCTTCCACAGTTTGTCCCTGAGACACAAGTCAAAAAAGAATAGTATTGAGAAGAATCAAGAAAACAACCAGGAAATCAAGAACAATCGAATCTTACTCTCACAATTAATCCCACAATGGGGGAGGGAAACCTGTGTTTCAGCCATAAGGATCTCTGAGGAACTACTCAAAAATACCTAAAGCAGGGCAATGTACAGTATTTGAGAGAGATCAGGAACAAGATATTACACATGAGCCTATTTACAGTGCATTTCACCCCCAGGAGCTGAATATTGCACCTCAGTTGACTATTACATAGTCCCTCATACTTTCACCTAGCTTATCCCTGCAGTGATGTGTTGTACAGTCTGATTGCTGTGGGGAGGAACGACCTACGGTAACGCTCCTTCTTACACTGGGGATGTAACAGTCTTGTGCTAAAGGAACTGTTCAGAGCCTCTACTGTGTGGTGCAGGGGATGGGAGGGGTTATGCATGAGAGTCCCTATAAGATTTTAACTGGTCAGAACAAGAATATATAAACGTGGATGTGTTTTAGATGGAGATAGTTGGGGTAAACTGTGCCGAGCCCGACTTGTTCTTGTGGCTACCACAGTAAAAAGACAACATATTGGACAATAAGCTTTGTTTTCCACTTGTCTGGAATTATTCTTTACCATTAACATGTGGTTTAAATCCTCAGGTCAGAGCGAGGCTCCATCGGACGCCTGGTGTACGAACAGGAGCCGTCAGGAGTCGAGCGAGGAGGAGAGAGGGAGAGGAGGGCAGGGGGGGAAGGAGAGAGCGGAGAGGATGAGCGAGGAGGAGGAGGAGGGAGCAGTGAAGCCGACTCGCCACAGGGAACCATCAAACACAAACCGAACGGCCGCTCGGTCTCCACGGCGCAGGGACAGACTCGCAGCCCCGCCAACGTGCCCCTGCCGATACCTTCAGCCCGCACCCTGCCCTCACACCCGCTCCCTCACCCGCTTCAGCAACCCCACCCTCACCCATCTCCCATCCCTCACCTCCCCACCATCCTCCACCACCACCCGCAGTGTGGCCAGCCACACATCATGCACATGCACTACAGCCACGGCGGCAGCCCTTACATGCAGCACGCACACTTCGCCCAGCACCACTACCACCACTTGCACCACCAACACCACCACCTCCCCCACTCCTACCCAGAACCCCCATCTTCCCCACTGCCCTCACCTGTGCCACCGCTCACCCCTCTCTCGCCCCTGCCGCCACCACTCACACCCTCACCACTGTCCTCCTCCTCTTCCTCTGCGCTCCAAAACATGGAGGTACAGCAGTACCATGCCCATCACCCCCACCTCCACCACCACCACCTGCTCTGCTCGGATGGAGACAACGAGAGTGTCAACTCCACCACCACCAACTCCAACGACGATACCACGGTCAACAACTGCAGCTCCGGCTCCTCGTCGCGTGACAGTCTGCGGGAGCCGATCGGGGGGGCCGCGCTGGGGAAACAGACCTATCAGAGAGAGAGCCGCCACAGCTGGGACTCACCTGCCTTCAACAATGACGTGGTGCAGCGGCGGCAGTACCGCATCGGACTCAACCTGTTCAACAAGTATGTGTCTGTAAACATTCACACAAGGCTCAGTTTCCAAATCCTCCTCTCATGTACTTTTACACAGTCGGGGGAAGTCAGGGACAAACGACCTTAGACGTTAACGTACAAATGTAAAAAAGCTTTGGATATTTCTGCACAACAAACTAAACTCACGTTTGTATGTTTTCATGCACAATATAGTTGGTTGTGCATAAATATTCAGATGCAAATGTACTTCATAACACCTCATTTATAAATCCTATAAAACGTGTAAATAATATTTGCACTATTGTTTTCTGAACAGAACACAATATGAGACTTTTCTGATCAGGTCTAAAAAATCTTAAGACAAATAACACGATGGAAAACTGAGGAACATAAGGTGCTTTTTAAAAGCAAGGATACATAAAGACATTTCTTGTTGGGTACAGGAAGCCGGAGAAGGGGATCCAATACCTGATTGAGAGGGGGTTTGTGTCTGACACGCCGGTGGGCATCGCCAGGTTCATTCTGGAGAGGAAAGGACTGAGCAGGCAGATGATCGGAGAGTTCCTGGGCAGCCGGCAGCAGTTCAACAAGGACGTCCTGGAGTGAGTAAAAACATTCACAGGACTCCACCTGACACTTGAGAATAGCTGCGTCAATGTGTTTATGTCCTCACAAGGACAGAGAGCTGAGGACTCCTTTCCATTCCAGGCTTGATGGTTTGTGCTATGGTCTTTACAACAAGGCAGATGGCTAGCAGCATCCTCTCCCTGACTGAAATGAAGGGGTTTGTGGGAAATGTAGTCATCGCTTTCAAGTTATAAGAAGCAACCACCCCATCCCCATCCTAGTGTAGGAAAGCTGTGAGGGGAGGGGGTTTAACACCGGTGTCTTCTGTCTCCGACTATAGCTGTGTCCTGGATGAAATGGATTTCTCAGGGATGGATCTTGACGATGCTCTGAGGAAGTTCCAGGCTCAGATCAAAGTTCAAGGTGAAGCTCAGCGGGTGGAGCGCCTGGTGGAGGCCTTCAGGTACTGAACCGCACCACAGGTTTGAATCCCAGAGAAGGTACAGTTTGCCAGTGGAGTTTGTCATGTTTCCTTCATTCCCTCTCTCTGTCCATCTCTCCACAGTCAGCGGTACTGTGTCTGTAACCCGGTGCTGATCCGACAGTTCCAGAATCCAGACACCATCTTCATCCTGGCCTTTGCCATCATCCTCCTCAACACAGACATGTACAGCCCAAACGTGAAGCCAGAGAGGAAGATGAAGCTCGAGGACTTCATCAAGAACCTACGGGGTCAGTCGGTGGACGGTCTGCGTCGTTCACCGCACAGATTTATACTCATAAGAACCTTGCAAAAAGACAGGGTTCCCCCATTCCCTGGAAACTTTTGACCAGTTTTCCAGTCAAGGAAAAGTCATGGAAACTGAGTTAAATTACACAGTGTCCTGGAAAAACATCCTGGAAAATGATTTTCACATTTTTCTATTTGCCATCAAATCTTTACCAGATTGGTTTTTACATGAATTTGAAGTCTCTTTGTAATGAAGCGGGCGAAGCAGAAACAGCAGCGTCTTCTCATTCAGCGTCTGCCATGACCTCATTAGTGTTTGATCGATTGACAATGACAATGAGATGAGAGTCCAGATGTACAGGGTAAAGAATGGAACCTAAAATGTTGTTCCCAGGAGGAATGAGTCAGGTTCTGTGCTCTCTGTTTGTATGTGAGTTTTCAATGCTTAGTTTTTCTGTTTATCATAGTTTCATATCTGAAATGAAACTGTATGTTCCCATCAGGCGTTGACAACGGTCAGGACATCCCCAGGGACCTGCTGGTGGCAATCTATGGAAGGATCCAGAAGTGGGAGCTGCGGACCAATGATGACCATGTGTCCCAGGTCCAGGCGGTGGAGAGGATGGTGGTCGGCAAGAAGCCTGTAAGACCCTCTGACCTCTCAGACACGTATCTTAAACTCTGTCCACAAATTTTCATACGAGACATTTTATCTGTTCTATAGGTTTTTCAACTCAAATTTTTGAAAAGTGTAACGTTATCTCTCAAACTTTATCAGCTTTTGACCATTTTATTACAGTTTTCACAGCAGTCTCTTCTGTAGAGACGTGTAAAGAAAAACAAATCAGTAAATGTTGTTGAGGATGAAACCTAATGATTTTCAGGACCCTGATCCTTCGTCCAGTGCCACCATCAGGAAGAAACATCTACTTGTACACAATGAAAATGTAATGGTCAGAATTCCATAAGGTTTACTAAGAATATCCATGCTCCCCAGACTTCTTCTCTACTACTGGTGGTGGTGTTGGTGGTGCAACTATCGAGACCTGGAGTATCTGCTTTGCAATAGTTATTTAAAGATCTCAAGAAAGCAAGTTTCTCTTTGTCCATTTTTTAATTATGAGGAAACTAACAAAAAGTAAATGAAGTTTTGTGCTAGAAAGTTTACACTGTAGGACTGAAACCATCAGTCGCTGGATGATTAGTGCATCAACAGAGATTGATCACTAACTGCTATGATAACTATAAATCGTTTGCTGGGTTCAGCCGTGGTTATCTGCTTCTCTCTGTTTCACGTCATTGGAAAGTGAATATCGGTGGGTTTTTGTCTGTTGGTTGGACAGAACAAGACATTCGAAGACTGAGAGCTTGGACAGTTTTTCCAGACATGTTTTTTTTTTACCAAATCCATTATTCATTCTGCAGATTAACTGATAACAAAAGGAAATCGCTTGTTACAACTATTAGATGGTAAAACCAACAAAAATACATGAATGTCAAAATTATGTGGGGCAATGCATCAGATGTACAGACAGAGGGAAATGGTTTGTAAATCTAAATAAATGTATAGTGGCAGATTATTTTAACCCTGTTCTAACATTTTCTGTGTGTGCTACAGGTGCTGTCCCTGCCCCATCGCAGGCTGGTGTGCTGCTGTCAGCTGTTCGAGGTTCCCGACCCGAATCGAGCTCAGAGGAGCGGCATCCACCAGAGAGAAGTTTTCCTGTTCAACGACCTGCTGATGGTAATCAGTACCCTGTATGTGTGTGTCATAGGAAGACCATTGTTGTTCCCAGTGGCCGACTCTGGCCACTGGTTCAGATACATTGATGGCACCTGGGTCAAAATTTTAATCAAAGAACACATCGGTGCAGAGGGCAGCAACATCAGGTCCACAGGGAGGTTGGCAGAGGAGATAGTTTGGCCTTCCTGGACTCGGCTGTACGACAGAGGCCTGAATATCAAAGTATACAGGAACCCCCCACCACCATCCACTAGGGCGCTAACTGGGAGCTGTCAGGACCCTCCAGCGCCAGGCTGAGAACGTGCCTCTGAGGCCAAAGGGGAAGGAGAAGGAGCATGAACACATCCTGGCCAGAGAGAACAGGTGGTGTGAAAGAAGAGGCTGGTACGGCCATCACTGCATGGAGGAGGTGGTCTACGTCACCACTTGTCAGCCTCTTACAGTGCAGTCCCTTCATCCCTTCCCAGGCAGTTTAACTCCCAGCCACACCTTGATTCATGTGAACTGAAAGAGCCATGGGATGACCAGGTGAGGCGGCATGTCACTGCAACGGCCGTCAAGGTGTTAACAACTTCACAGAAGTCAAATCCCTGGGGCTCCCCACCAGCCAGTCAGAGCTGAAGAAGGTGAAGCGTCTTCAAAAGAACCTCACGCAGATCCGCTCACTGGTTTTTGGATAAATGGAGACCAAGATCATCAAAATCAAGCGGCACTCCCTCCTCATTTGTCTCTTGTGCTGTTTCCTCTCTTCTTCCTCTCTCTGGTTATCTCCCTCGGTTTTCTTCATCGTCATGTCGTCCCCCTTCTGCTGTGCCTGACTCTTCTCTCTCCTGAATCCTTAACTCATTCTCTCCTCATCTTTTGTCTCCTCTTCCTGCTCAGGTGACAAAGATTTTCCAAAAGAAGAAGACTTCTGTGACCTACAGTTTCAGACAATCGTTCCCTCTGGTGGACATGCAGGTCCACACCTTCCAAAACGCATGTAAGTACTTTCCTCTCTCTGTTCTGCCACACTCTCCCTCGTTATCTCCCTCTCCTGTTGTCCATCTGCTCTGTCCATCTGTCTCTGCCACTCAATGTTTTTTCTCTATTTCTTTTTTGCACTTTCTCAGATCTTTATTTTTACCCCACAGTCAGCAGAACCACAAACACATATACACTGAGGCAAACAGATACACACACATACACACACACACACACACACACACACACGACGTTGATGACATCGTACTCGTCATCGCCCAGAGTCATGAATGTCTGATGTTCTGTGTGTTAAGTCAAATCCAATTTTATTTATACAGCCAAATATCACAAATCACAAATTTGCCTCAAGGAACTTTACAGTGTGTGCAGCACATGACACCTCTGTCCTTAGGCGCTCAAATGGGATCAGGAGAAATCCCCCCAAACCTCTTTATCAGGCAAAGAATGGAAGAAAGCTCAGGAAGAGCAATAAGGGAGGGATCCCACTTCCAGGACAGACAGACAGAATAGATCAACTCAATAGACTGTCAGTCATCAGAAAGACACGTTTGTATATTGTAACACAGAACATTTTATAAACACAAAGAACCTGAAGTCAGGTTCTTGCTCTTTAGGCCAAGAATGTCCAGGAGGAGCATAGTGGGGTAGCAGGTTGTTATACAGTTTCTTATGGTTTAAAAGGTTGAATAAGGTCCAGCAAATACAATTCAAACTGAAATAAATGCCTGGTGAAGTAACTACCAAATGTCTATTGTGATGTAAATTTGGGGAGTTTGGATTGAATATTTCCTCAGGAGGTTCACTAATACGGGGCCTGCGTTGCTCAGTCGGTCGAGCGTCAGTCTTTTAATGTGAGTGCCCAGGGTTTGAGTGCATGTTTGGGCATAGCTTTGTTATCCGTTTAGATTTTCACAGTGAGTTTGAACACTCAC